TCCAGAGTGAGTTTCACTGAGCGTAGAGCCAGGAGAGAGAAGGCGGAGAAGCCACAATTAAAGCCAGATGTGTCCTACTGCTTTACTCTGCTCTTCAGTGCTGATGGTGGAAATGTTTTACATATTATTAGTGAGTCCTGTTGCATCACCTGTGGCACAACTGAGCTCCTCAAAGACCCTAAATAAGGCTAATTAGATATGAGCTAAAGCCAGATACGCTGCAAAACATTCATCAAAACAATCTATGTAGCTCAGCTAAATCTAGGAATCCTCAGTTTAACACAACACTTCTGTGAATATAAAAAGTCATAGTGTGCTACATAAAACATTGAATATGTTGTAATTACTTCTTTGAACTCTGTGTTGAAGTTTGTTGTCCACCTGACTATGAGAAGGTTGTAATTTATCTGAATCTGAAGTTACTGCTGTTATAACAAAATCATAAATAAAATTATTCGGATTATACAAAATAAAATAAATGTGTGAATCGGTGGAATACTGTTGTAAATAATAACAATAACTAATAACAAAATTATTACTCTTGGATAAAAGTTGAAAAACTCCAATAGAAAGTGAGAAAGTGGACGGTTTTTTTTTGTGTTGCTCAAGTCGAGCAGCCCTCCGACACACCTGTCACCCCTTCACCTGTGTGACATATAAGCAGAGATGCATGTCTTGTATGTACAAGAAAGAAGACTAGTAATGGTCTTTTAACTGAACTGGCATTCATTCCCTTGTAATAATCATAGTAAGATCTAACAGAATAGTATATGCATAAATAATGTTACTTAAACCACACAGTAAAGACTAAACTACACACTTTCAAACAGTTAACACAGACACACAGTCACTCTAGAGAACTGTCTTGCCATTCGTTACAGTAAGGGCATTTACTGCAAGCTTTGCTGGTGATTTCTGACTGTGCATGATTAACATTTCTGTCATTTTTCTAGCTCCCTGCAGTTTTGAAATCTGAATATAAAGGGCCACTGGTGGCAGAGATCATGTCCCTGTACTATTTATATCTGAGCAAGGATAGCAAGTGTGGGTTTCTGTCTCACTGTGGCTGGATACAGGAGCATAGTGAGAGAGGATGTTTTTGGGATAATATGGCTGCAAGAGGCATAACTGAAGGTAAAGAATGCTAGAAGCTGTTTAAGGAAATTCATTCATATTCTATGAGTTTGTAGAGCTTAAAATACACATTACTCTGTGCCAGAAATATTAGCTACCATTAAGCATGAGTTACGTATCATAGTATATGAATGGTGAAAATGCAAAATGTACCTGCATAGCTGGGGGGCTGTGCATTGTGCACAAAGATGAATTCTTTCTGGATAAAATCATTAATTGTTCCACAGTGGAACCTGCATCTCATATTGTAGATTTGCAGTGCACTGTGGGAAGGTCTGCTTGGTTAGGATATCAATCCAAAGGGCCACGACTGAATTGGACTTTTATACATTTAGAATTCAATCACTGGCACTTTTCTTTACCATGTGTCATCCTGTAAAACGTCTGTACATCAGTGAAGCTGTATTTTAGTTGTACATGAAGAACATGGTTGATAATTATAGTGCAATGCCAAAGCAGGGACAGCTGCATGAGGTGGAAAGTGTGAGTGTAGAAAACTAACCCCAAAACACTGAATGAATTCAGAATCTGTTGAATACAGAAAAGCTGTGTGTTATTCTCCTGAAATTGAATAAATCACCTATCCTTGTTCTAATCTGACATTAAACCATGACACATCACACATACTCTTCTATCTTAAATGTGACAGGTCATACAGACACGGTTTCTCATGCACGGTAAATAAAAATTCAAACACAACCTACTCCTCTCTTGGACACACTCCGTCTTGAAATATTTTATCAAGAGGAATGATGGTTTGGCCGAGAAACACGTCCAATCCGATAAGCACCCGGTGCATGACCGTGAGGACCAGGTCCCCGCTCCCCGGGGGGTAGGCGCATCGTGCGCCGTCCTCCAGGATCCCGGGGAGCAGCTCGAAGCAGCACTCCTCGTTCCAAGCAGGCACCTCCGCCTTCTCCACCAGCCCAGTGGTGTACTTCTCCTTCCCCACCTGGATGATGGTGTAGAGGTAGCGGCTTCCGTGCTTGCCCTTGGTTCGCAGCCCTCTGGCGCGAAGCACGGTGACATTGACGTGAGTGGGTACCCATCGCTGATCATCATCCAGATCTATCAGTGACATCATTTTGCACCGCTACACAGGGGCGCAGTGGCTGGGGGCCACTAAATGATC